AAATTTAAATAGTCTTGTGGATTTCTAAGGCACAACCTATTTTTCATCAACTTCATTCTTCAAATCTGCATCATGGGTAAAAACAGGTCAACTACGAGAGTTGGTGAGTAATCTAATTTTAGTAGAGAAAATTGTGAAGTTGAAACCTTTATAATTGGAAATTTGTTTTCTTTTGAAGTCGGCAAACAATTGTATTTGAGATAACGGTTTATAAATCAAAAATTGATTAACAAATGATAACAACAACAATAAGTCCTCACTCTATATATACATATGTATATATATATATAAATATATATAGGATGGAGCATCTAATCATCATACACACTCAACCACGTGTGATCAATCACCTTAGCGTCCCAAGGCGGGGTGGTCAACCCAATAGCGCTATTATTGTCCATAACGTACCTCAAGAATACGGGCATAGTCATGGAGATTAGACTAAAAATGGTAATGCACTACAAGTACATGTAGCGTAAACAAACAATAGTTATACAATTAATGACTCACGTATAAATGTCCCAACAATGTCTCAATTGTGATAAAACAATAAAATGAAGTTGGAATATATTAGAACCACATGATACACCCCAAAAGTATTGAAAATTATAAAGTATGGGGTAGATTACTCACATTAGTCCCAAAACGAAATGCGTGTGTCGTACGATAGACGATTCGGGTCAAAATGGCGTAGAACCTATATAATTAATAGTTTTGGTTTAGGAACTGCTAAACGAGAATGGAGTATTAATAAAAAATAATTAGACACATATTCTTATATTAGATGAATTAACAATAATTCATTTTGATTATAATATTAAGGTATTTATTTGTTAAATGAATTTTAAATTGAATTACTTACTTTGCATAATTAATTTATATTTTCAATTTAGGCCAGATTTTAAGAATTTCTTATTAAATAATAACTTGCCCAATTATAATTATTTACAGATTTTAACAATTATTTATATGAAATAATCATTAAAATGCATTTTTACATGCTTAAATACTTAGGAAAATAGTTTTAAATAGTAAACAGTATTGAAAAATTATGAAATTATTAGGAAATCATTATTTCATACAATATGAATTACTGTAAAATTTGTATATTTTTCTGAACTGTTTTAGTATTTATTTAATATTTTAATGATTAAACAACACAAAATTCGGGAAAAATAGTAAATGATTCTCAAAAAATCTGTAAAATTAACCATAGTTTTATAACATGATGTAGAGCTCAGTGTATAAGTTTCAGATATTTGTGACTATGGGAAGTATTTTTTATATATTTCATTATTAATTAATCAATAAAATCATAAATAATAGTAAAAAGTAATATAAATGCATGAAACTTCATATATCATGTTTAATCAGTATACAGGTCATCCCAGAATTTTCTCAGAATTTATTGAATGCAAAAAGTATTTTATGTGAATTATTGCCCTACTTTATTGCAATAATTATAGTAATTCAATAAAAATAAATTATTTTCTGAAAATTTCCAGAACTTCTTATTTTATTGATGAGATTCTGAGAAAAATCAGGTTTATGCATAAAATGAGTTTTAGATATTTTGGTGGATTTAATTTGTTTCTTGTATGAATATGAAATTTTAACAACATACCTTGATGAATGCTTCAAGAGGGATGAAGATTTGAGTATAATAGATTGTTCTTGGATGGAATATGAGTATTCTTGGAGGAAATTTCGAGATTGAGAGTGAGAGAAAGAATAGAGAAGGTTTAAGTGGTGAAGAGAATAATGTGTTGGGAGAAAAATGAAAGGAAAGTGGATGGGAGGTGTGAGTGGGAGACCATGGGAATAATCTTTTTGCTTTTGGTGGTCTTCATAATTTCCCACTAACACAAGCATCTTTTACATAATTAATATAAGAGTTTTATAAAATTTAATGTAAAGTTTATAAAAATAGAGTTTTATAAAATTTAATGTAAGTTTATAAAAATGGAGTTTTATAAAAGATGAGTTATTATTTGATTATAACAATCTACTTTGATTTGAAGTTTAATTATAGCATTCAAGTTTGATTCTTTTAAATTTAATTAGAGCATTATACTTTGATTTGATTTTTAATATGGTATCATAATTTAATTTGATTATAGTTATAACGTTGTACTATACTATGTTGCTATTAACGTCAATTTATATCGTAGTGTATGAGTTTCGATCCTATTAGCGTCAAGTAATCTTGAGTAGGGTTTGAATGAGATTGCGAGAGGTTTCGTTTGTGATCTTTTTGAGTGTCCGGCTTCGCAACGCAAGGTCCATAGACCCCGTTAAGCCATGATTTAGTGTCCTACACAATCCCGATGATTGTGCAATAGTGTTTTATCGCTTTGGTTCATTGTTTAGCACTGTTAAGGCTAAGGAAAATCAAACACATGAACTTTCCAAATGATGTTTTCTCATTAAAATAGCGAATTGTACAGTGATTACATAACGTAAACCCTATCATACAAGGGTTAATGGAGTTGACCGGTTTGACTAGTTGACTTTGTTTGACTTTGACTTGACCGAAATTTGATGGTTGTCACATCACTCACCAAACATTCCATCACCAAACCTTTAATCACGAACTTGTTATCGACCTTTACTCGATCAACCTATTTATTCACCTGCTAGTTGCTATTATCATACTATGGCTCCACAAATATATACACTCCATCCATACTCTTCTCAATTCCAATTTCAACCCATGCCATTTTACAAACACCAACCCTAAACTAATTTCCAATCCCAACCCAAACCCTGTCCAAATTCTGAACTTGATCCGTTTGAGTCGGTTCAAGAAACCCAATTCTTTTCCCAGCCCCAACCCCAAACTAATTTTCAATCTGAACCATGTCGCCTAGTCGATGAGTCTACCGATTCTTCCGATGAAGGTCTCGTTTAAGAGCCCGAAGTTGACCCCAAGGGAAAAGGAAAGGCAAAATGCCAAGGATGGACGGATAAAGAGGAGAAGGCATTGGCGCAAGCATGGCTAGATGTATCGGAGGATCCGGCGACGAGGACGGCCAAAGTGGGCTAGCTTTTAAATTTAGAGTTTGAAATTTTTTTATGCCAGGATGAAGAAGGAGTACCGCCAAAAAAAATTCAATGGAGTTCAATGACATCTACATGAACGTGACATGGAACTCACAAAGCGATGCAAATGAGGTGGATGTCCTAGCAAAAGTTCTTCAGATTTATAAGGCAGTAGACCTTTTGCAAATGAGGCGTTTTAGGGAGTTGTGAAGGACAAACCAAAATGGCTTACTCTAAAAAGTGCTGATGATTTTGCGAGTATGTCCAAATGAAGCAGAACTTCTGAATCAACCCGCAATCAATCTTTTGATGCGCATATCGGGATCGATCTCAACAACGAAGATCCATATGAAGTTCCAACTCTTCCTATGGGAAGAGACAAAGCAAAAAAAGAAAACTAAAAGGTGGTCAAAGTTCATCAAGTGAAGTAGAGGAGATAAGGACCGACATAAGGGTTGGACACTAAACTTGAAAAATATTTGGAAATGGGAAAGGGAAAAAAATCTTGCACTAAAGTTTTTCTTACAAAAGAGAAAAAACTTGTCCGAACATGATCGTTGGATTTTCAACAATGCAATGTCGGAGATTACTAAAGAATATAAGTGGGATAAGTAATAGTATTTTTATGTCTTAAATGTAGTTTTAATTTATGTTTTAAGTCAAGTAGTAAGTCGTGTTTTAGGTATTAAGTCGAGTTTTAGGTATTAATTCATGTTTTTAGATATTAAGTCATGTTTTAATTTATTAATCGTATTTTATGTTTTAATTTATTGTAACATTTTTTTATTTAATATTAAGTGTTTGTGTTTTAAAGAAATATAAAATATGTAATATGAAATGTTTGTGTATTAAAAAAATATAATTTATTCAAATTTGGAAAAAAAATCAACAAGTGTTGGAGATGCTACCACTCTTTATGAAATGCTAACCAAATTACAGACAAGAAAATAACATAATAGTTAAAAAATGATTTAAAAATGTGATAAGAATGTTACCATCCTCTATTAAGCAAAGCAGACCAACAACATCAATATATTATCAATTTTTATTTACAATGCCGCATCACCTTTTTAAATTACATTCTACGTCAATATAATATCAATACTATAGGCCGACCAACACATCTATTACTACCTCATAGATATTTATAATCATCCATTTAACTTTAAATTTTTTATTTAGTTAATAAAATAGTTACAAAATATATAATCTAATAATAATATTTTAAGTGCCCCGTTACTTGAGTGATTACGAAAGAAGATAATTTTTCAAAGATGTGTAATATATTAATTAGTAAAGCATTGATGGTCCTTAAATGAATTTAATAAGTGATTTAATTAAATAATTGAAAAGCATTGTAATATAATTATATATAGCAAGTACCAAGTTGATGAAAGGTGGGATCCATTTTTGCATTTGAAAGCCTTTTTATATTTGCAAGAACTTGCTGAGTTTGATTTACCATGTTATGTTCACAAAGGTTTGCAAGTTCATTTGCACTACTGGATGCTTTTATAACACCATAAGTGATGTTTTTATAACACCATAGGTGATGTAGAGGGTGAGTTTCGTACCTATTAGTTTAAAAGACTTGTCTTGTATCCACCATCTTCGTCAAATTATGTCAAAATTATATGACTTCCAATCATTTACAACCAAATTGTCAAGGTGTAATATTACTTTATTGATATCAATTTCAGATTATTTTTTTAATACTCTAACCAAGAAGAGGAGGCCACGTAGACGTGAAATCAAGACATGCAACCACAGCCATCCAATATCAAACCCCTAATCACTGGATAGAAAACTATTCGTCTTAGCCATCCACGAAAAGGAATAAAAGAAACAACAAAAAAACCTTAAGTCAATCACTAATCAATAGTCAGAATAGTAACCGATTGGTCTGGCCCAATTATTACCCCCATGAACGCCTCGTCTCTATGATGCCAATTTTTTTTTTATGATGCCAATGGTCCGACCCAATCATTGCCTCCAAGAACGCCCAGACACTCATCTATGATGCCAACTGCATCATCCAGCTGATATGTACTAACCAAAAATGGAGGCATGATACGGATGATGTTTCCTTTCCCTACAGCCTCTATCCCAAGACCACGCTTCTTACATTCATCGACAAACGATTGCGCATCAACATCTAGCTCCACTGCAGCTACAAGGCCGAATGCTTGTATTCCTCTTACACGAGCGTTTCTTCCTAGTTGCTTACTTAGAATATCTTCCAAGTATCGACCTTTTTCTGTTATGTGGTCCAAATAGCGGCGCTGAGCTACTTTTCTGAAGACATTTAAAGCCTCACCACATTCCCGAGGGATGTGCATGTGCTCGTTTTCATATTTGTGTATATGGGTATTCATTTTTTTATTCACCACAAGAGCCCCGATGTCCATACCACGGAATCGCACAATCATAAAATCCGGCTCTACACCGAGTGCTTGGTGGGCCCAAAGCCGGCCCGTTTGACCTATGCCACATTGAACCTGCAAGCAAGGTGATATCAATAAACATTATCCTAGTAGTTAGTTTTATTATATATATATATATATATATATATATATATATATATATATATATATATAAATTGTAGTTAGCATTTACCTCATCGAATGCAAGTAATACTCCAGATTTATCGCAAGCAGTCCGTAAAGACTGCAGGTATTGTGGTGTAAAGCTTTTTATCCCTCCATTGCCATGTATGGGCTCGACAAAGACAGCCGCTACTTTGCCTTCTGATACAAGTTTTTCTACCTCACCAATGTCCTTAGGTGGAGAACTTGTAGGAGGGATGTTATTAGACAAAGATATGTAGCCCATAGTATCAGTAGTCCAACTGCTATGTGCATAAGATTGGAACTCTCCTGCATGTGTCAATGCAGCCGCAAGTGCTGCTGTTGCTGAGGGGTAGAGGTAACTAGCTTCAGCAAATGAAGTTGATGCAGCAAGCTCTTGCGCAAGAGTCTACAACAGATAAAACAACTTCATATTCTATGTTTCCACATGATACCGTTAATTATTAGGAATATATATATGCAAAAGTAAGTACAACTTTAGATATAAAAAATAAATAAATAATAACATGTAGGAATAAAATATTATGAAATCTTTGAAATTTATAGAATGATATGATATATATTTTTTGAAACAATAAATCCAAAAGGTGTTGTGTGTGTGTGTGTGTATATATATATATATATATATATATATATATATATATATATATATATATATATATATTGAAATATATAAAAAAACATTTAGTTATACTATCTTAAAAAACTTGCTTTATTATTTAATTTAGGGAGAATTTCTGTATACGCTCTTATTAAACAATAAAATATCATATTTACCCTTCCTAACCTTTAAAATATCGTATTTGCCCAAATATTTTTTTAACATTTTATAATAAGTTTTTATACTTTATAATCATTATAATTAAAAAATAGAAAATAGATTGACCTTATTGCCCCTATATAGATTGATCTGATTTCTTCAATAGTTCCAGGAACTGAAGCTTGATCGAGTCGGGATTTTTCTTGTTATATACTGCAGTTGCATCAAGATTCATCTGAAGAGATCATTAACTCACGCCATAGTTCAATTTGTTTAATTTTGTTTGGTAGAAAAAAAGGATAAGGAGAAGCAATAGATGCCATACTTTAAAAGAATCATTAATTTCCATAGATTTGAACTTTTGATTCTATTTAATTAAAGCGAAGAGTAGGTCAGCAGCCAAAAAGATGAAAGAGAGATGAGGAGATAAAAAAGGGGCCTGGCTTTTCTTTAGCATAACGAGGGTAATACCAAGGGTAATATTGTAATTTCAATATCAATCTACTTATTATTTTTGATTTATAAAAATTATAAAGTATAAAAACTGATTATAAAATGTTTACAAAAAGTATTTGGGCAAATACGATATTGTAAAGGTTAGGAAGGGTAAATAGGATATTTAGATTTTAAACTGGGCAAATACGATATTTTATTGTTTAACAAGGGGATATACGAAATTCTCCTAATTTATATGATTTTACAGTTAAATAAATGTATTAAATAACATACTGTTGGCATGCTATTAATTTAATAATATGTAAAATCTAATAAAGAGGAGGTCCTTAATTTATACCTAAGCCTTTTAGTTTATAAATAAATCTTAATTTATTTTGTCTTAACCAACATTTGTCATAATTATCTCAATCCATACTTATAATAGATTGATAAAAAACATAATAATTTAATAATTAAATTACATGTGATCATTTTGGTTTTACACATTGCCTATTAGTTTGAATGTAATAATTTAAACATAAAACAGACCTTAGAGGTGGAAAACGGATCCGATGAAATGAAATATTTGTCGACCGGAGGAAGAGCTCCAAAGGTAAAATCAAGGAAGTCTCTGTTTTTTGCATGCTCAGTTCCCTAATAATAACATAAAATTATTGGGGATACACAACTTTAATATAGAATCAATTAATTATGTTTGTCCAAAAACATAAAAGTAGTAATCAATTAAGATAAAAATACACACATTTAATATTCGATGAATCAGATAAAATCATTTGCTAAAAGGACCAACGACCAAAAGGCCATTGGCCTAGTGGTATAGTGAAATGCCCTCCCTCTAAGAGGTTGAGGTTTCAAGTCCTACTTAGGACATATGTGGAGAATAGGAGTAGTTTAGTGTGTGTGTGTTTGTTTGTGTTGGACTCAAATAGACAATTGCAGAGTCAACACACAAATTCAGTAACTTGGAAGTACTTGTATACTTTATCAGCAGACTAAGGGCTGCTTTGTAATGGTCAAGCCTTCCTATACAATAGGAATTTATTCAAACACAAAGAGCAAAATAATTCAAACCTAACAGTTCCAAAGGTCAATAGATGTGACCCTGTCCATAAGGAGTTTTCAAGTTTTGGATTTGAGATCCATGTACAATATGTTGTTCTCCTACCAAGCCAAAACCTAATGGATGCTAATAAAACTATTGGAGCAAATTAATCCATATGGTAGGGAAAAAAACGACAAATTAAGACACTGTCATTATATGAAATAAATCAATTGTTTGCACATCACATCAAAAGTTTTGAACATTACCAAAGCAGCCCTTAGTCTGCTGATAAAGTATAAGAGGAGGCTGGTGTTTGTTGTCCATCAATTTCATAATCCCTTTTTTAGGGTTTATGTTCCGCATATCACGGTGCATTGTGGATGCAGGAAGAAAACCATTGCCTATGCTCGACATAATAACAGGCCTCATTGATTGCATGGTTTGCAAATAACTTGTGTATTGCCCCTCTCCCATCTATTCCCTGTTTAAAGAGTTTAAGATTTACAGACGCCGGATTTCACGGTGGTTTAAACTTATCGCGAGGATGTGTTGAGTTATTTTGATTAAAGACTTTACGCCTTCTTCCCGAGTTTTATTTTTTTTCATTATTAAAAGAAAGGATAATGACTTGGTAGGCTAAAATATTTTTTGAAATGTAAACATTTAGTTATTATTCTTTTTTTTTGTAAAATAAACCCTTATACTTTATTAATATGTACACATTAGGTCATTTTCATCGGATTCTACAGGTTTTGCTGACGTGGAAGAGTTTATTTTACAAAAAAAAAAGAATAAGGACTAAATGTGTACATTTCAAAAAGTATCTTACCCTATCAAGTCATTTTCCCTTTCTTTTTATTTTGTTGAAATGAAATACCCAGGTGGCATCCACATATCCACAACGAGATTTTTCCAACTTTTATTCATCATGAAAAAGAGGGAGAACCCCGATCTCCGGCGACTCCTTTGTGTGTTCCTACACATCACTGGTAGCAAGGAGGAATGATGGCAAAAACAACAAGGTCGAAGGGGAGGCAGGAGGAAGTAGAGACGGTAGTTGGCGGCGAGGAGCTGCTCTGGTAGCCCCCTCGTCGATTCTTTCTTCTTTTTCTGGCAACATATCTCAAAGATGGAGGCAAAGAAAAACAGATCGGAGAAACACAACAGGTAAAGGGTGTTTGGTTGTTGCTGTTCGATCGGAGGGAAGAGAGACGAGAAAGAGAAGGGTCGCCGCCCTTTTCTTGTTGCTGGAGGATCACCCACCTCCGGTGACTAAGCTAATTAATTGCTATTTAGTGTCACTTGTGCTTCCACATCAGCAAAACATGTAGAATCCGGTGAAAAGGACCTAATGTGTATATATTAATAAAGTATAAGGGTTTATTTACAAAAAAAAAAGAATAAGGACTAAATGTGTACAATTCAAAAAGTATGTTACCCTATCAAGTCATTTTCCCTAAAAGAAAATTCGTATATGACCGGTATATCGGGTATAGCCGGTCACAAGGATTACATTGTTACAAAAAATAAAGTATAAGGGTTTATTTTACAAAAAAAAAGAATAAAGACTATATGTGTACATTTCAAAAAGTATCTTACCCTATCAAGTCATTATCCCTTAAAAGAAATGTAAGGAAAATATTGACAGAATTAAAGGGAGGGGAAGGAAAATTTATGTATTCCGTGATTCCAGGTTCGAAGTAAATGAAAAGGAAGGAGGGGAAAGGAAAAAGAAGAGAAAATTAAAAAGAAATTAAAGTATACCCCGGCTACACATGTTTAGAACATATTAAACAATATGAATCAACTAAGTGAGAATCAAAATCAATCAAAATTCCAACTCTTACAAATAAAGTCCAATGTAAACTACCAGATATATATATATATATAGATTAATATATATATATATATATAGATATATAGATATATATATATATATATATATATATATATATATATATATATAAAAGAGCGTTCAATTGAGAACATTTTTATCGTGAGAACATTTGAGAACAAATTTGAAAAACACAATTTTTTTAATTAAAATTATAAAATAATATTCATATAAATCAAAAAATAGTTACAAACAATTAAAAAAACCCACTAACTAACACCACTCACCACCCAACCAACACCACCCGCCACCACCATCACCATCACCACCTACCACCATCACCACCCACCTCCACCGCCTGCCACCACCACCCACAACCCCTACCTACCACCCATCACCACCACCCGCCGCCACCACCACCCATCACTACCCACCACCACCCACCACTAACCACCACCACCAACCACCGCTCACCACCCATAACTACCCACCCACCACCACCACCACCACCTGCCACCACCATCACCACCGAACCATCACCACCCTCCACCACCACCCATCACCACCGCCCGCCACCACCACCAACAACCACTACCTACCACCCATCACCACCACCCACCACTACCACTACCCGCAACCACCAACCACTACCCACCACCCACCACAACCACTACCACCCACCTCCACCACCACCAACCACCACCCGCCACTACTACCCACCACCACCCCACCACTCATCACTACTCACTACCCACCACCACCCGCCCCACCACCACCCATCACTACCCACCACCCATTACCAACCACCACCCACCACCAGCACCAGCACCCGCCACCACCACCAACCACCACCACCCGCCACCACCACCCATCACTAACCACCACCACCAACCACCAACCACCACCCATCACTACCCACCACCCACCACCACCCACCACCACCAACCACCACCATCACCGCCCAACCACCACCATCACCCACCTCTACCGCCTGCCACCACCACCCACAACCCCTACCTACCACCCATCACCACCACCCGCCACCACCACCCATCACTACCTACCACCACCAACCACCACCAACAACCACTTCCTACCACCCATCACCACCACCGGCCACCACCACCACCCACCACCACCACCCACTACTACCCACCACCACCAACCACTACCCACCACCACCACCCACCTCCCGCCACCACCACCAACAACCACTACCTACCACCCATCACCACCACCCGCCACCACCACCCACCACCACCCCACCACCCCACCACCCACCACCACCTACCCACCACAACCACCACCACCCACATCCACCACCACCACCAACTACCACCCGCCACCACCACCCATCACTACCCACCACCACCCACCCACCATAACCACCACCACCCACCCACCATAACCACACCACCACCAACCGCCACCCGCCACCACCATCACCACCCACCATCATCACCACCCAACCAGCACCAGTCGCCACCACCACCCACCAAAACCATCACTCGTCACTATCACCACCACTTGCAACCACCCATCCACCCACCACCACCCATCACCACACACCATCACCACCAGTTACCACCACCCCACCTCCACCACCCGCCGCCACCACCCCACCCCCACCTACAAATATTTGTTATTGTGTTTTTGATTCATTAGGTTTTCTCTTGTATATAATCACATGTGATTATATGTATCGAATCATATATGATTTATATGTTATTAAATACATATAATCACATGTGATTAAATACACGTGAAAAACTAGTGAATCGAGAATGCAAAAATAAATATTGTCCACGTAAATCATATGTGATTAGATACATATAACTACATGTGATTATATGTATTTAATAAAATACTATTTACGTGGGCCGTATTTATTTTCGTGTTTTCGATTTAATAATTGGCATCGTGTATTAAATCACATGTGATTATATGTTTTTAATCACATATGATCTATATGGACAATATTTGTTTTCATGTGTTGATTTGTAACATACACGTTTTGAAATCGTGTTATGTAATTTGAAAAGTTAATAATATTATGAAATATTATGTGAAATTGAGTGTTGAGTTCTAACAAGATAGTTTTTACTAGAAATGAAGTAAAACTATGTTTAGAATCACTCATAAATTATTGGAAGTCTTATGAGATTCCAATTAAAAGCCAAATAGTGAAATTTAGCGAAAATATAAAATTTGAAATAAGTAAAATTTTATTATTGAAAGTTGTAGATAATCTCGTTAGAAACATGTAGGCGAAAACCTCGTCGAAATCTGAATTATAACGAAGAAGTTATGACCAATCAAAGATCCGCGACAAAACCGACACGGCGCCGAATGACGTAAAAAGTAAGTTTTTTTTATAAACTACTTTTTAGCCTTAGTGATCTAAATGAAAGTCGTAGTATTTGTTAAACCGAGAATTTTCATAAAAAGAACGCCAAAATCTGACTTCGTATGAGGAAGTTATGATTTTTCTAAGTTTCAGCTTAGCAGTAGACAGCTAAAAACTCGAATTTTAGATCGAGTGATTTTTAGCCGACACAATCTAAACGAGAATCTAAGGTCTCGTCAATAGTAGTACAACGGTAAAAATTCTAACGAAAACGGACGTCGGATGAAGAAGTTATGAATTTTTAACGGATTTACCAGTCCCGGTCTGTTAAAAATAAAGTCAAAATTAGCAGACGAAGTCTAAACGAAAGTTGTAGAATATATTCATGTCTACACGTGCATATAAAGAACGTCAAAAACGGAGCCCGTATGCGAAAGTTATGGATTTTAGAAGTTTGGGGCTTAATTTCCGAGAATTTTCGCATGGATAAGATCCGGAACAGGCCACGTCATCCGATCTCGGTGAGTCAGCAGACGCGTGTTGCCTTCTGATTGGACCGAGGCTGAATCCTATCCCCATCCGACGCGCCTCGCCCCGTGTCGCTGTGACTCATCGCATCCGAGCTTCGCTGGTCCAATCCGAGAGCGTCGTGTGCCCTTCGCGTGTCCGAAGCTCGCACCCTCCACCTGGCCTCGCTCCGCGGCTGCCACCTGCCTTCGCTGATTTTGAAAATTTCTATTCCTCCTACTTCATCGGTTTCTCAAGAATCGATCTCACAAATGATTTCTTTGTTGGAATCTCGTCTAAAGGCTGATCTTGATCCTTTGTTGTAATTTGTCAATTTGATGCCCAAAGCTGCCCCACCTGTTTCCACAGGGGTGGAAGGGGAGAAAAGGGTGTCGGTGAATCAAGGGATTTGGATCAAGGCAAAGTTGTTGGTAAGGTAACAAGCACTCAGATTCCCACTTCATTTCCAATGTCCACATCGACTACTTCAATAACCATGACTTCGAAGCCTTTAACTAAAGGAATTGTTATTGGTTCATCTGTTGGGCGATCAAGTTCGAAGCCACCTCAATCAACAGAAGAATTAAAAGGAAAAGGAAAGGGTATTCTGACTGACCCAAGTGCAGAAGAGAAGAAGTTGGCTTTAGAGCAGGAAATGGAGAAGCAAAGGAAAATTCAAAACATTCTTCAACAAAGACAAAGTGATCCTCCTAGTCTTGATAAGGGTGATCCAACAAAACACTACAGCTATGAAATAGTTGAAGCTTCTGTTTTCAGTGGAGTCAT